AAGAACTGTGGCCAGTAGATCAGGAGAGGTGACTCTGCACCTCTACTCTGCCCTGGTGAGACCTCACCTGGAGTAGTGTGTCCAGCTCTGAAGCCTCCATCAGAAGGATATGGACCTGTTGGAGCGTGTCCAGAGGAGTGCAATGAAAGTGATCAGAGGGCTTCTCTTATGAAAACAGGCTGAGGAAGTTGGGGTTGTTCAGCCTGAAGACAGGAAGACTATGTGGGACCTCATAGCAACATTCCAATACCTGAAAGGAGCCTGTAAGAAGGCTGGGGAAGATCTATTCACTAGGGCATGTAATGACAGGACAAGGGGTAATGGTTTCAAGCTAAAGGGTAGATTTAGGTTGAGCATTAGGAGAAGTTCTTCAATATGAAGGTGGTGGATCACTGGAACATGTTGCCTAGAGAGGTGGTGGAGGCCCCATCCCTGGAGACATTCAAGGTCAGGCTTCATGGAGCTCTGAGTAATCAGTTCTAGTATAAGATGTCCCTGTTTATTGCAGGGAGGTTAGACTAGATGACCTTTAGAGGTCCCTTCCAATCCAAGATATTCTGTGATTCTGTGCTTTTATCTGAAAGACCATGAAGACCTATATTTAAAGTTAGGCTATTCTCTGAATATCCATTGCTGATTTTACCATTTCTACCCCAAACACTAAATAATACCCTCTAGCTTCCCACCTTTATGGGGTTCAACCCTCTTTCTTTTGAACAGCCTTAAGCACTATGCACAGCACTTGTTTTGTCCCTCTTGTGCTCTGCAGCCATGGTTGCCCTGTTCTTTCCTCCTTCCAACTGACAGCATTCACCCCTCCCTGAACAGTCCCACCAGTTCTGCTCCTTCCTCTTGACCTCAGGCTTCTTTCTTCTGCCTTCTGATATCCAGCCCAGCACAGACCCCTTTCACCACCACTATTTCTGCTTTCTGGACCTCACAGCTGTCCCATGTGATCTCACAGGCTTTCCCCCTTTCTTCTCTCTTCCCTCTCCTCTTTCTGGAGCTTTCTCTCAGTCTCTGAAAGGTCACAATCAAACAATAGTGTCTCCACCTCTCACTTCTGTCAGCTCTTGGCTTTCAAGGACACACAGAAGGAGACTCTTCTCCAAGACTTCTCAAATTGCTTGTCAGGCTCTGAAGGCACCAGAAGGCACCAGACCTTGCTGTTCCAGACCAGTCCCCTGGGATTCCTCACACCCTGCCCTCATTCCAGCACACCATGTCAGTCCCCAAGTCCACCAGCCCCTCCACATTAGGGTCAGTCTCCAGCTCCTCACAGCCTGCCCTGCCTGGCCATGGGTCCCACTGAGCCAGGCCCACCTGGGGGCCCATAGAGCAGGCCATCCTCAGCCCACTGCCATCCCCAGGGAAGTGCCAGACCTTGCCATGACAGACCCATGGGGGTTCCAGGGAGCAGACAGCCCTTGCAGTACCTTGGCACACGCACCATTAGAGGGCTGCTTGGAGTGGCACTGCAGCTCTTCCCACTCTCTATGTTGCTATCAAGTTCTGGCCACCCAAGTCCTCCAGAACAACGCTTGTTTTTGGCTTTTCTTCCAGCTTCTTTCTGTTCCTCATGCTCCACCATATTAATACCTATCATGCTGACTTAGGCCTACACCTGTCTGCAAGTGTTTCCTTTCACGCTGTGAACATCAGGCATGTGCAGGCACTTGCAGAAATGTGAATGCAATGGCAGGTGCTTTCACTGCTGTAGTCACTAGAGGCTAAAATAAAACCTGCATTTTTCTTACAGAAAGTATTTTCCTGAGGCCAAATATCCTGCACCAGTTTTGGACAGGTACAGTTTGCTGGCAATGTGTCTGGTTGACTCTGAGCAGCGGGACTTGTGACAGGAAGATCTGTTTCTAGAACAAATAATGTTGAAAGAATGTAGACAGGAGTCAAAGTGGAAGAGCTGAAGCCATACAAGATGACCCTGGAAGTGTATTACTCCTACCTTGAAACAGATGGTCAAAGATATAACAATCCTCTCACTGCCTAAAAAAGTGGTACAACAATAGCAAGTTAACTCTGACACCAGGTTGTGCACCAGCCAGGGCAGGGCCAAAGAGAACAAAAAGGCTGAAAGCACAGGTTGGATAAATATCTACATTAATTTTAGTGAGAGAAGTTAAACAGTCCCTCATGCACTTCTTTCCATACATGCCCCACAAACGTTTTGTATGGGTTGTATGGGAGTGTTGTATAAAAGGTATTGTCTGTGTGTGATGTTATTCTAATTAAACCAATATGTCACCTGCACCTGGGCTTGCCGTGTTTTAGCTACCTCAGTTTGCTCGCCTAGCTACAGAAAGCCAGGGAAACGTTCCCTCAGTGGCACATCACCACCTTGTGGAGAAATCTCATTAGTGCAGCTCTCTTAGAGGAAAAGACGGCTGACTTCAGTCAATTAACTTCAGCTTAAATTAGAGTCTAAATTACTTTTGGGATGTCAATGGTCTTGTCTACAGTAGGGAGCTGATTTGCACAGCACCAAGATTTATTCTGGTGCTATCATTTAGCTCTTCTGGAACAGCTCTTTGAGAGTACAGGTCATTTTCAGGAATAGCAAAAACATTCACGTTACACTGGAACGACAAAAAGTCAGCTTTCCTGTTAACAAGTCTAATTGGGTGGAATTCATATGCTGAGATACTGGACTGGGTGGACGAAGTGCTCCCATTGCAGGGCCAGGGAGGTGATTCTGCCCCTCTGCTCTGGTGAGACCCCACCTGGAATACTGTGTACAGTTCTGGTGCCCTCAGCACAAGAAAGATATAGACCTGTTGGAGAGGGTCCAGAGAAGGGCCACCAAGATGATCAAAGGCCTGGAGCACCTCTGCTATGAAGACAGGCTGAGAAAGTTGGGGCTGTTCAGCCTGGAGAAGAGAAGGCTCCAAGTAGACCTTATAGCACCTTCCAGTACTTGAAGAGGGCCTATAGGAAAGCTGAGGAGGGGCTTTTCATCAGAGAAGATAGTGATAGGATAAGGAGTAATGGTTTTAAACTGAAAGAGCAGAGATTTAGGTTAGATATAAGGAAGAAATTCTTGACTATAAGGGTGGTGAGGAACTAGAATGGGTTGCCCAGGGAGGTTGTTGATGCCCCATCCCTGGAGGTTTTTAAGGCCAGGATGGATGAGGTTTTGTGCAACCTGATCTAGTGGTGGGGTTCCCTGCTCACGGCAGGAGGGTTGTAACTTGATGACCTTTAAGGTCCCTTAATGATTCTATTATTCATTGCTATCAACAGAAGCTAAGGTAATATGCAAATATTAAAAATAAGCCACTCATTCCTATGGTATTCTGATTTTTCCTGGCACACTTTATCTCTGCCCTAGAGAATAGAAATTATACAGACTAACTTCCACAGACCAAACATTGCCAAACTCATTTGTAAGGTGCCATGATGACTTTCAGTATTCTAGGCAAAGTCCTAGGCATAAATAGCTTAATGGATATAGGGCTTACTGTTTATGTTGAGATGTATTAAAGTTCAAGCTCTGTGTAATTCAGGTAAGACATTGAGCCTTCATCTCTTACTATATCAGGCTACTTTTAAGAATCTCTCAGTGCCTTTGTTGAAGTTGTTTTGTTTTAACATAAATAAGAACAGGAGATGGAAGGCTGTTCTAAAGCTGCTGCAAACAAAAATAAATTGTTCTTCATAAATGGTAGCTAAGCTGCAAATCTCATAGTATATATGGCTTCAAAACAGGGTAATGCATGAATTCATGGAATAAAAAAAATGCTGACAGATGCTAAACATACCGCATCTGAATCACAAATCACTAGAGGCTGGGGAAGTAGATGGATTTTGGGTCTCATACAGTACATGTTTCAGGGCACCAGAGGTAGATCCCTGACTGACTACTAGGATACAGGCTGTTTCATTCTGTCCCAACGAGTGCCAACTCTTTTGATAAATTAGAAGAGCTGCACTAAGAAAGATTAAAGAGAAGAATCCCTACACAGGTCATAGCTTAGTGCAGTGTCTCCAAAGTATGGCAAAAGTCTCAAGGTATCATATGGCATATGTTCCCAGTAGGCCATCAGCTCCCTCCCAGCCCCTATGTTCAAAGAATGAAAGCCTCCAAATCCAGCCTTAGATAGCGTGTGCCTGCAGGCACTGGCAGGAGCTGGGCATGCCTTGCTGAGAGCTGGATGGATGCAAGTCATCATCTGCACCTGCCCACAACCCTCTATCTGCCACATTGGACTGTGCAGAGGCTCAGGGTTCGAATTGCTTCTCAGCATCAAACATGCCAGATATCTGAATGGTGCATGCTTCCTAGGAGAGCACCCTGGGCATCAAGCTGTGAGATGTTTAGAGGTTCTCTCCTGTTCTTCACACTTTTTATTTTTTTATTTTTATTTTTTTTTCTTATTGGAAAGACCGTGATGTATTTGCCAGAGAGAGCAGGGAAACTTGAATTTCAAACAAAGAGAAATGCCAAGAGAGAAAAACTATTTCCTATCCAGGTCTTTAGTTACAATAGCTACAAAATTATAGAGCTGCCTAGAATAATTATCATCTAACAGCTTTCAGCCTAGGCAATCAATTTTTAAATTCTCTAAGCTAAAACTTAAATTTTCAACACATTTTCTGCACAGGCTGTATAAAGCCCCTGCTATTCAAACCCACATGATTTCCTGATTGGTGTATTGAAAGTAAGCTGAAAGGTAGCAAGACTACAGAAAGCCTTTCAAAAGTGTTCACATTGAATAGAGACAACCCCAGTTGCCCACTGGGAAGGTCTTTTCTTTATCAACTGATGGCAGAGCCCTGTGTGTTCCTGACAGAACTCAACTACTCTATCAATCAAAGCGACAGAAATCCACCGCAAAGCCAATTCGGCAGCTCTGATGGTTGGAGTAATTCAGCATGAACATAATTGCTTTTACTTAGGGTTATAATTAGGACCCATTTGACAAATGTTGCTCTAGCTGGGCCAGGGATAACGACCAGGATGTAATGAGTTGTAGGATCCCTACCTTCTGGGCCATGGCTCCTTGCGTGCTGAGGAGAGAGCTGCATTCCCCTTCATGGTATTCTTCCTTGCATTCACGGCAGAACACAAACTGGAAAACAAACCAAAGCACACAAGAGATAAAAACACATTAGGGATAGAGACAGCAGGTTACTATCATGGACAGCCATACAGCAGATGATCTCTTGCCCTTCTCATCCCATTAAATTCCCATAATCCTCCTAATTGTGCATCTTATTATACACTCTGATCATTAACACAACAATTTTGCTGTTATTATTATACATTTAATCAGTGGAGTAACTTAAATGCCATTATTATAAATGAGATTTTGCTACATGGTCCATTTAGGGATATAAAGTCATACTAGAAACTGGGTGTGTTCCTCTTGCAGTGAAATCTGTTTATACAAGAAGGATGTTATCTGAAACAAGCAGTTCTGCTTTATAGTATTTTCTAATGGAATAGTCTGCTTATAGTCCTGAATAAAATGCATTCTCTATGGAACACTATTGCTGACTTTATTAGGGGATTATCACATTATATAGGTCATATGAAATACAATTTTCTAGAAAGTAATATCCTTGTCATAGACTCTTATAGAATGATTTTAAAAAATCCGTAGAAAGAACACGATAGGTTACTTAACACAGGTGTTGCGAGGACTGCCGCCAGATCCTTATTGCATTTCTAGAAATTGTTAGGTTTCATCTTAAATGACATTGTTCTTCACATAAGGCTTCATTGAAAAAGAGTATCTTTTGCAGATGAGTAAAACAATTGTCCCTATCTCAGTCTGTCCTGCCTCCGCCACCTAAACTGGTTCCTATGTAACAAGTTTAATGCCTTTTTAAAAATGTATAATGAAGATATCTATCTTGACGTGTCAAAATCTTTGACCTGTCAATGCTGCATTAAATTCTGTGTCCTTGCAGGTAAAGGGAAAAGTCAATAATGTAAAATGGGTCTCTTTTGTGCTATTTTAAAGCTGTGCTGCCTTGATGCAACTCAAGACTCTGAAAGATCTCTCAGTGGTAAGCCATTCTGACTGGCATTATAAGCAAGACTGATAAAACAGCCTCCACTTTTAGATACAGACCTGAAGTCACATGTAATGAATAAAGGATAACAGGAGGACATGACACTAGAGTATTTGTCTGCCACAAATTCCAGCTTTGCAATTTAATTTTGAACTCCTTCAAGCTCTATTGTCACTTTTCTGAGAAGCACTGCAAATCACGCTAAAAATCTGTACTCTTACAAAAAGAAGCATTGTGTGGAGCTGAAAGGATTGATCCTGCTACTCAGAAAGGCAGGGAAATTTGGAATGGAGTAGTGCAGTGGGTGTTCTAACTTCCAGAGTTATCAAACTTAATCACTTGTTTGCTTTCTTGTCACTTCACTGCACTGTTTTGTCAATTATTTAAAATGTTTTATTTTACTTCAACTAACATTGATTTGTTAGTTCACTCACACTTGTTAGCAAACAGCTTAACAATGGAGGCCCTTTTGCAAGGTACGTTGTATGAGAGGCTGCATGATTATAATAAGGCATCATTTAAATACAGTAACAGTTTGCACTGCAACAGTGGTCAAAAGTTTCAGCCATGCTGAACACTGCTCAAACACACACACAGAGGTATTGCCTGTCTGGATACCTAGTATCTCAAAGACCCGTTATTGCTTAAAAATGAAGGCTATGGGCAGGTTTAACTGTATTTCCTACCATGTGTCCTATTTGCTTTTTCCCTCATGCCTTTATTTTCCTTATGAAAACATTTGGCTGAAAACATTTGTCTGAAAGGGGTTTGTATACACTCACTTTATCACAGCCTTATCACACAATGCCTCGGCTTGCTTTCCTCACTCTAGTCTCTCTCACTTTTCCCATGCCAGTGCAATTTTAAACCTTTCATAAACATTGAAAAGGGGGAAATACTGAAGAAAGAAAGAAAAAATAATCCAGGGCATGTGCTTTGCAAAGACATTCTGGCTGCCTCATAATGTAGTATGTGGCATTGCTATTTATTATAATGTTACCAATGCTTGCCCCATAAGCTTGCTGTTCTGGATACGCACACGCAGTAGTGTGTAACTGGGTCTTTCACTAACAATTGTGTGTCCTGCAGGTAAGTCCACGAGTGAGCCTGCCACATCCTTGTAATGAAACCAAGCCTGATTTTTTTTTGGTGAGACAGGATACCCTCTTCGCATCCTATTAGATAATAGATGAGATATAAAATCAGTTCTGTGGCAAAAGAACACCCTGGAGGCTGATCGGTTTGTCAGAATAAATAGGCATCTTCCCAACAAAAATGCATTAAGCACTCCCTTTTTATGGCAAAGCATGCATCATAAAGAAAAGGCATGTCACTTACAACAAAAAGCAGTTTGTGATATTTTATTCATTTTTTACATTCAGACATGAAAAATATAATAAAATTTCAGTAATAAAATACAGCAACTGTAAAAATCCTGTCAGTTAACTTGTATTTTGTAGCTTCATTGATATTAATACAGTTATTTTCCCCTCAAAAAAAAAAAAAAAAGGACTTAAGTTGTTCACCCAGAATTTATAACTTTTGCATAAATTGAATATTAGGAAGCGCTTTAAATTAGTTTAAGTAGTGTAAATACTAATAACAGTCACACTTTCTTTCCCTTTATTTCTCAAAAAAAGACTGGCAGATTACTGTGATAAAATAAACACCTATAAACTCTCCATGTCTTTGTGTATTTAGCACTTACTGTTGCTACCCTTGAAAGACTCTTCAGTTAGAAACCAACAAGCCCAAATAATAAATCCTAAAGGTCCAAAACCTGCCCTCTAGGTTTATGCATTAAAAAGAGGATTAGCAGGGAAATCCCCAAAGCACTTATGGGATTTAGGCACTGGAAATTAATATAACCTGTGTGTGTACCATTCTGGGCTTTTGAATATCTGTAAATATGCATGAGATAGACCTAAGCAGAAATTGTGAATCCAACTGACCTCAGAATAGGAGGTATTAAAAACCTTAAGAGGGATCCAGATCCTCTTTTAAAATTCCTCTTATCTTTATGATCATTCAAACTAAAGTTAAAATCATTCCAGACATCCAATTCGAACCTCCCCTGGAACATCTTGAGGCCATTTCCTTTTGTCCTATCATTTGTTACATGGGAGAAGAGGCCAATGCCCACCTCTCTACCACCTCCTTTCAAGCAGCTGGAGAGAGCTATAAGGTCTCCCCTCAATGTCCTCTTCTCCAGGCTAAACAACTCCAGTTCCCTCAGATGCTCCTCATAAGACTTGTTCTCCAGAACTTTCTTTCTCCAGCTTCATTGCCCTTCTCTGGACTTGCTCCAGCACCTCAATGTTTTCCTTGTAGTGAGGTGCCCAAAACTGAACACAGTACTTGAGGTGCAGCCTCACTAGTGCCAAGTACGGGGGACAATCGCCTTCCTAGTCCTGCTGGCCACACTATTTTTGAGACAAGCCAGGATGCTGTTGGCTTTCTTGGCCACCTGGGCTCATGTTCACCCAGCTGTCGACCAACACTCCCAGGTCCTTTTCCTCTGGGCAGCTTTCTAGCCACTTTTCCCCAACCCTGCAGTACTACATGAGGTTGTTATGACCCAAGGGCAGGATACAACACTTGGCTGTGTTGAACTTCATAGAATCACAGAATGGTTAAGGTTGGAAGGGACCTTAAAGATCATCAGGTTCTAACCTCCCTGCCGTGAGGAAGAACATCTCATGCTAGACTAGGCTGCACAAAGCCTCATCCAGCCTGGCTTTGAAAGCCTCCAGGGAGGGGGCATCCAGAGTCTCTCTGGGCAACCTATTGCAGTGCCTTACTACCCTCATGGTGAATAATTTCTTCCTTATATGTCTAACCTAAATCTACCCTCTTTCAGTTTAAAACCATTACCCCATACAACTCATACAATTGCTTTGGCCCATTGATTCAGCCTTTTCTAGATCCCCGTATAGAGGTTTCTACCCTCAAGGAGACGAACAGTCCGACCCAACTTGTTGGTGTCTGCAAATTTACAGAGAGTGCACTCAATCCCCTCATCCAGATCATTGATAAAGACATTAAAGAGAACTGGCCCCCAGCACTGAGCCCTGGGGAACACCATTTGTGGTGGTCTCCAGCTGGATTTAACTCCATTCACCACAACCCTTTGGACCTGGCCATCCAGCCAGTTTTTTACCTAGCAAAGAGCACACTGGTCTAACCCACAAGTAGCCAGTTTCTCCAGAAAAATCTTGTCAGAAACAATGTTGAAGGCTTTTATTGAAGTCCACAGCCTTTCCCTCATGCACTAAGTAGGTCACCTTGCCATAGTAGGAGATGAGGTTCTTCAAGCAGGACCTGCCTTTCATGAACCCATGTTGACTGGGCCTCATCACCTTGTTGTCCTACATGTGCTGCATAATGGCACTCAAGATGATCTGATCCCTAACCTTCCCTGGCACCAAGGTCAGACTGACAGCCCTGTAGATTCCTGAATCCTCCTTCTGGTCCTTCTTGTTGATGAGGGTCACATTTGCCAATCTCCAGACAACTGGAGTTTCCCTGATTAGCCAGGACTACTGATAAATGATGGAAAGTGGCTTGGTGAGCACTACTGCCAGCTCCCTGAATACCCTTGAGTGTATCTCATCTGACCCCATAGACTTGTGTATGGGGCCTCACTACACACCAGTGAGGTAGTCATAGCAAAGGTTTAATCTGCAGCACCATACACTGCTAGGGATATCTGTGTGAGCTAATAACTCAAGCTCAATCCCAAATTTCTTACCAGGCTTCAGGAATCCATACTGAAATCCGGACTGCCACATCTTCATTCCTACAGTCATCACTAATAACTAGATTGAAGACAGATCATGTGTGATACATGGTTTGGCAAAAGTGTAGCTTCCAAAACAGACATTCACATCCAGATTAAGGCCAGTAGGTGAGGAAAGATGCACCCATGCCTCTACTGCAGTGTTCTAATGACCCTTCAAAAAACACTGTTAAAAATTGTATCTAATGTCTACTTTGATACTTTCTGGTTTCAACTTCCAGCCGTTGCTTTCTGTTTCTTTGATAAAATAAA